CCTCCTCCTCCTCCTCCTCCTCCTCTTCCTCTTCTTCTTCTTTTGCCTTACTGGAGATGGAACTCAGGGCCTCAAGCATATGCACACTAGGCAAGTGTACTACTACTGAATTACATCCCTAATCCTGTATTTCATTTCACTTTAAGACAGGGTCTCACTAGATTACCTAGGTTGGCCTGGAATTTACAAACCTTTTCCCTCAGCCTTCTGAATAGTTGGGATTACAAGCATGCACCCCTGCACTCAGCTTCCTTTTAAGATTGAATTTCCTCCTGAAACACCCTCTACCTCTCTGACTTTGGTTCTCTTTGTTTTTTCTTCTATTTTCTTGTACATTTTCTTTGTTTCCTGCAGAGACTCATCCATGTGCCCCTTATCTGGGTAGTGTTTGCAGAGCTCCACCTAGGAACCTCTTCTTTTTTTTTTTATTAGTTGCTCAAGACAATACAATGATCTTGACATATCATATATTTGATTCAAATAGGGTATGAATTTTCATTTTTCCACGTGTACAGATTGCAGGATCACATTGGTTATACATCCATGTGTATACATACAGCAATCCTAGTGTCAGTTGTATTCTGCTGCCCTCCCTATCCCCCCTCCCCTCCCCTCTCCTCTCATCACTATTCTCTACCCATTCTACTGTGACACTTATCTCATCTCTTCTTCATTGTATTGCTACTCGATGGGTCAGCACCATGCCCAAGTCAGGATCTCCAGCCACACTCCTCTCCCAAATTCCAGATTAGTATTTCCATCAACCCCCCCCAAGTTTTCTGTCCACCTGTCCTGTAAACATGTCAGACTCAACATTGCCTAAATTGAATTCAGCACTTGTCCTTCAATGTTCTCCTGTGTTGTCTACTAAGGTTTAATGGTAGTACTGTCTTGCAGAGACTCCAGAAATTTGTCCCCATGTTTTCAATCTCACAATCAACCTTGAGATTCTGTTGGTTCTTCCACCAATCATCTAACTTCAGCCACCAACACAGTTCCGGCCCTCTTCTTGTGATATCTGGACAACTGGAGCTTTTAAACTGACTTTCTTATTTTACTTTCTTATACTTCCAGTTCCTTCCCATTATCACCAATGTTGTCTTTTGAAACACTTATCTGTGTCCAATTACTCCACACTTAATGACTTTCCCTCTGACATAGGGTAAAGTTCAAATTTTTTTGGCATGTCTGAATGCAACCTACCTACTGTCTACTCCTTCCTGCACAAAAACACACACTGGTACACACTACATACATGTACACACATATATACTCCAAAGCCTTATACATACATCTGTATGCACCATTGTGTATTCTAACTACACCTGATTCATCCATGTTTGGTGTTAGAGAAGTATTCATGGATTGGGGCTCAAGATTCTATATTTAAAAGCCATTACTCATGTATTGCTGATGCACAGTCATATTTGGAAATGACTGTCTACATATATTATCAGTGCCCTCCCCCTACTTCCTAACAAATTAAAATTCCAGTGTTTCCTGTACCACCCTGTGAGCTGGCCACTAAGACAGGTAGATTTCAACACCAGGAGTCAATGACTACATCACTTTAAATTAATTCATTCTAAAACAGATGATGACTGTTCTCTGTTTTCATGTGCTAAAAGCCTTGAGCATATTAAAAGGAAGAAGCCTTTTAATGTAAAGAGTTGATCTTTTAATGATGGAATTTTAGATATCCAGCAAAATAAAGACAAATGTTCAGTCAGTATGTAAAAAATAAAAAATAAAAAAATAAAAAAAATATTCAGGAGAAATATTTAAGGCCCAAAGTCACCTAATATCATGCAAATGTTATCATCAGAGCCACAAGCTTTAGTCTTAATTAACAGCCCTCTGCAAGTTAGAATATTCCTAAAAGATTCAGCACAGCACAAAAGAAGAAGAACTTTGTAAGTTTGTACCTTTGATCAAGGTGCCAGAGTCTTTGTCCTGATTCTTCCAGTTGTCATGGTGACGAGTGCTTTTCCAGGAAGAATGCACAGAAGAATCCCTCTGAAGAGAAGAGTCCTGATATCACAAGTCCTGGGACAACGAATTCTGTGTATGACAGTGATTTCTACGCCCCTTCTGATGATTCGAAGAGGCTGAACTCCATAAAACTAATATTTGATCCTATCTTTATGAAGCACCTACTTTACCAGAAGTGGTGTGGTAGGCTCAGTGTCAAAGGAGAGAAAATCTGAAACATGGTACAGAGAGGTTCCAATCTATTTGGAAACAGATCCAAACATGGGGAAAGGAAATTGTCTCAGCCCTGAAGAAGGCCTAACCAATTTCTGTCCCCATCATCTTCCTTTGCAGCAGAATTCCATTTATCTAGCTACTACCTTCTTCTGCCCAACTAGAAGACTCAGAAGAGATAGAGGGTGATTGCCTTGAGCCAATCTGGTGGCACAACACCACTCACCATCTGATGCAGACAATCAGCTTACCATGCAATGTTGGTTAATGAGATATGGGGGCTGGAATCTGCTGTAAGACTTCTGAAGAAATTTTTTCATGTATAAGAGAGATATTGGTTAAGAAATATTGTCAGGTACAGATGTAAAGTTCAGAGCAGCTATTTTGCAATGTTGATGTCTGCTAACTTTAAAGATAAAGACAATGTATTGTGGGTAGCCTCATGAAAAGAAGGAGAGGAAGAGTCCCTGATTTGTCTTT